TAATTTACGAAGAGAATCTAAGAATAATAAAAAAAAAAATTGTTCTGCAGAGCATTTTTTGAACTATTACGAATAAATTTTCAAGTTACTCCCAGAGAGAATTTAAAAATATATTTTAGAACAACTCTAAAAAAAATTTGTGGGCCGAAATGATTTTAAAGGAAATACAGATCAATCAAATAAAGTCCCGTTAAGTTTTCAGCTAATTTTATTTACTCGTACCTTATACGGATCAGAACTTTTTCGGTGTTTTTTTTTTATCAAAAAATACACACATAAAAGAACGGAAATTTTATTTAATCTTCTAAACCATTCAAACTATCCTGGAGTGCTAATTCTTGACAAAATAGCTAAATCGCCAGGGTACGGGTCTTACCCATGGAAAATGTACAAACATGTCCATAAAATCTAGATTTCATGATTCAAGATTCCATCAGATTCGATTAGATGAAGTACTTTTGAATACTTTCTGATCAACCTGCAGTCTTGGAAGAATAGGTGAGAGCCGTCATTTGTACTTTCTAACAGTTGGAGATCTTCAGATCTCGATCAACCTGAAGTCTTGAAAAAGTATATTAAGATCTTTACTAATGTCTTCGTCTATTTGGAGATTTTTTTTTAATATTTCCTGCTGTCTAGGAAGGATGTTTGAAAGAATATCATGTAACCTATGGTAAGTTCCCTGAACATCTACAAAACACTCTAAAGGTTTGCAAAATTTACGGAACTTCTACGAAGTTCCGTTAATTTATTCCAAATTCCATATTGTTTTCCATCTCTTTATTCTGCGAAGATCTTTGAACACCTTTTCGAACTTCTGGAAAGACCCACATGAATTGAAAACACTGTAGAAAATTTCGGATCACAAAATTTGATTGTGTGTACGTTCAAAGTGCTTCAAAAAGAGTACCCAATGTCATTTGTATCTTCATTGGTTCCAGAGATACGTAAAATTGAAAATTGATATTTATTTAAAATCGGCAAAAAAGGGGGACAGTCACAAAGCCTGATTAGCATCTGTATTTTTAAGTTTTGGGTCTAGAATTTTGGTTCAAATCGGAGAGACTCGAAGTCCTTACTCAGTCACTTGAGATGGAATGACCCATATATTAATAAAAAACGCCATTAACAAGAACATCCAGGCAAATCCAGACTTTTTATTCTACAACAGCCAGATTTTTCGAATAATCACAGGCAACCCTGAGACGGAGACACTGAAATGCATACGTTTGAATCCATTAACATTTGATTGGCATCGTATTTTATTTTTTTAAACGTAGAAAAAATCTACTGTTGCGATTAATCCATTCGAGCCGATTCAATACATCGCTTAAAGGCATCGATTTCCGGTCTCTATACGTCATCCTCTATCCGGAAATACCCATACTGTAGGGTATTTTACAGTTTGGGTATTTCCGGATGGAGGATAACGTAGTGACCGCTATTTTGGATTAAAAAATTGCGTCTGGCATCGATTTCCGGCCTCTAAATGTTGTCCCCTTTCCGGAAATACCCAGTAGAGTATGTTAGAGATTTTCTTTAACTCATGACCGTCATTTTGGTTTCCAAAATGTCGTCTGGTGTCGATTTCCGGCCTCTACATGTCGTTCCTTTTCCGAAAATACTCATATTGTAGGGTATTTGACAATTTTTCTTGAACCGATGGTCGACATCTGGCATCGATTTCCGGCATCTACACGTCGTCCCCTTTCCGGAAATACCCATTTTGTAGAGTATGCTAGAGTTTTTCTTGAACTCATGACCGCCATTTTGGTTTCCAAAATGGCGTTTGGCATCGATTTTCGGCCTCTATACGTTACCCTCCTTCCAGAAATACCCATATTGTAGGGTATTTGACAGTTTTTCTTGAACCGATGACAGCTATCTTGGATTCCAAAATGGCGTCTGGCATCGATTTCCGGCCTCTATATGTCATCCTATATCCAGAAATACCCATGATGTAGAGTATTTCACAGTTTTTCTTGAACCGATGACCGCTATCTTGCATTCTAAAATGGCGCCTGGCATCGATTTCCGGCCTCTACATGTCGTTCCCTTTCCGAAAATACCCATATTGTAGGGTATTCGACAATTTTTCTTGAACCGATGGCCGACATCTTGGATTCCAAAATGGCGTATGGCATCGATTTCTGGCCTCTACACGTCATCCCTGATCCGGTTCCTGTTCTCACATTGCACAGCAATATCTTATATGGACAAGCTTTCTAGACATAACATACTAAGGAAATTCATGTGCACACTAGCGCCGCGTAGTGAGAGAATTCTGAATAACATGACCACCATCCGAAAGGACTTGGTCATCTGCACAACTTTGCTGAAGACAGCAACTTTCTAGATGGCCAGGCTCTCAAGATACAGTTTATATAGGAAGTTCACATGCACACTAGCGCTGCGTAGTGAGTGTTCTGAACTAATATGACCACCATCCGAAAGGACTTTGTCACCTGCATAACTTTGCTGAAGACAGCAACTTTCTATATGGCCAGATTATCGAGATACAGTTAATAGAATTTCACATGCACACTAGCGCTGCATAGTGAGAGAGTTCTGAACTAATATGGCCACCATCTGAAAGGACTTTGTCACCTGAACAAGTTTGCTGAAGACAGCAACTTTCTATATGCCCAGGCTCTCGAGATACAGTTTATATAAGAAGTTCACATGCACACTAGCGCTGCGTAGTGAGAGAGTTCTAAACTAATATGACCCCCATTCAAAAGCACATGATCACCTGAACAACTTTGATGAAGACAGTAACCTTCTTGAGAAATTTGAAATAATATGGCCACCATTCGAAAGGACTTGGTCACCTGAAAAACTTTACTGAAGATAGCAACATTCTATATGGCCAGGTTCTCGAGATACAGTTCACTTGCACATTAGCGTCTCTTAGTGAGAATGTTCTGAACTAATATAACCATCATCCGAAAGGACTTGGTCACCTGAACAACGTTGCTGAAAATAGCAACTTTCTATATGGCCAGACTCTCGAGATACAGTTTATAGAATTTCACATGCACACTAGCGCTGCATAGTGAGAGATTCCTGAACTAATATGGTTACCATCTGAAAGGACTTGGTCACCTGAACAACTTCGCTCAAGACAGCCAGAATGGCCACGATCACGAAATATTCTATGTTGGCCCCAAGTTCCATATATTATAGCACCCGTCATAAGTAACATAAAAGTGAAGTGCCTCTAGCGGCGGAGTCCCCAATTAAATCTGACACAGGCTTGTTGGTCTAACCCAGTACAACAACTTTGTCCATGACAGTATAGCTTTATATATTGAAACAAATGAGATAACCCACCACAGCCCCTATTGTTTAGGCAGTTGAAAACATTCCGACATTTGTGGGCCGGTAAGTCCGATGCCGACACCCCTACGAGCCACTGAACCATCGGAGTATCTGATGGTGTAGTCGTGGTACTTGTCGCGCTGGAGTTGCGTTACCAACTTGGTTTACTTGGTTGGAACCTGCATTAAAACTGTTTTTGGTAGTTGAATCAATTGTGTGTTTAGGTAGGTTCCAACTCCTGGCTCCAACCCAGTGAACCTGGCACACTGTGGGCAGCTCCTGGTTGGCAAATTCCATCAGGAGGAACCTGTTGTCTTTGAAGCTATCCCGATCGCTCTTCGACAGATGGCGTTGGCAATGTACCGGAGCGAAGCACTATCTACACATGCAGCATCACTTGGGGTTGAGGGCAGTGGCACAGAGCAGTAGGTCAGTGGAAATTCTAATGGCTTAATTGTACGTGGGGCTGAGAACATCGATTGACCAATCCCGAGCAAGGCAAGTCACTTCCAGACCGTATGTCAGACGAGAGTTGACTATGGCCCTGGATAGATGGAGTCGGGAGGTTCGGTTGCTGTCCTGGTGTCGACCTTCGAGAGTATGGAGAAGTTTTAACCTAGATTTGCAGTTAGATTTGACCTCGTTGAAGTGCACTTTGAATGAAAGGTTTCTATCAAACCGGACACCGAGAATGCGGTTGGTGTTGCAGTATGGATTCGTCTCGTTACGTCGATTTTTCGCAGAGAGTTTCTGAGAGGTCGATGTGGGTATATGAGCTCTTTGGAAAGGATAAAACTATTCGCGTTTATTTGCTCATCAAATAATTGAAGAAAATCCGACATCACTATCCACGAATGGAAATGCTAGCAATCGCTAGAACCAAAACTGAACGTGTTTTATATATAAGAAGTAATGATCTTTCTCACAGATGGGGGTAGTCTGCTTTCACACAAGATGTAATGGTCAAACCACGCCCAACGGGTTTTCATAAACAATAAAGAGTTTCTATTTGTGCTCATTTACTTTACTGGTATGGCGTATTTCCATCACCATTGCCAGCTTTCCAAAGAAGAAGAAGAACACGAAGAAGATTGGGTGCTTCAGCCCCCCCAGATTGAAATAATTCGAAACCCCTGGATCGAATCAAACAATAGAACTTGTGCGAAAACAATTGACTACCCTTTTTGTCTGATGCCTCGCTTGAAATCCGACGAAGGTATTGCGCGAGTTGTTGTTGCATCGTTTTGATCGATACCTTGGAAAACCTGTCCCTGTTCTAATCCTAAGCCCCTCTATATTTTCTTCTATTTTGCCGTTTTCAAGTCTTGTAGCTTTTGAATATCGATTGGTTCCAATCAAGGCAGTAGATAGTACATACCGAATGAGAGTGTTTTGCGTTAAGATAAAATAGAGACCTGGGTCCAAAATGGGGGACAGTGATGCTAGCCCTAGATGTAAAAAAATGAGCGAGTTTCCTCACACAAATCAGCAAACGAAACCGCAACCGATAAAAAGAAACAAGGATGATTACGAGTAATAGCATTGTGTTGTTGAATGTTGTTTAAACGTGGGAAGATCGATGTTTACTACCTAAACCAGATAGACGCAATTTTTTTTAATTCAAAAATATAGCATAGCCTGTAATATACGAACACGCGGCCCCGTCGAGTTTGGCTTTCTCTAAAACATCCCGAAACTCCCATTACGCACTAATCCACATACAATTTACTTTATCCGAATTCCAAGCAGTTCAAATGGAAGACAATCACCTAAATAGCCAACCCAATGGACTTGGTCTCGACGTTGCTGCCGTAGTTGGCCACCACCGGATCGACCTCCTGCCGCACAAATTCCAGCACCTGATCGGCAGCCCGCCCGGTGAACGTCTTCGGGTCCAAAATCTTGTCCAAATCGCCCAAGATCGGCGCAAAATACGAATCAGCCTTGATGCGCTCCACCAGATCGTTGTCCTTGCCGTGCTGTTTAACCTGGGCACCGGCTTCGTGTGAAAGCACCCGGATCTTTTCGTGACAAATCTGCCGATCGCCTCCTGCCTTCACCATGGCCATAATCACATTCTCGGTGGACATGAACGGCAGCTCTTGGGCGATGTTACGCTCGATGACCTTCGGGTAGACCACCAAGCCCTGGGAAATGTTCAGCAACGTGAGGAGACAGGCATCGGCCGAGAGGAAGGCCTCCGACAGCGTCAGGCGACGGTTAGCCGAGTCGTCCAGCGTACGTTCCAGCCATTGAACGGCCAAAGTGTTGGCCGCACTGGCGTGTAGAGTAATCAGATGCCTGGCCAGAGCGCAGCAACGTTCCGAACGCATCGGATTGCGCTTGTAGGCCATAGCGGAACTGCCGATTTGAGTCTGTTCGAAGGGTTCTTCGACTTCCTTGCGCGACGCTAGCAAACGCAGATCCGAGCACATTTTATGCACCGTTGCTCCCAGACTGGCCAAAGCGGAGACAATCTCCAGATCAACTTTTCTGCTATAAGTCTGTCCCGTGACGGCGTAGTACTTCTCGAATCCTGCCAGGTTCGTTACTTTCTGATCCAACTGCTTCACCTTTTCTCCGTCTCCGGCAAACAACTGCAGGAACGAGGCCTGGGTTCCGGTTGTTCCTTTCACGCCTCGGAAGCGCAAATTTTCTAGACAATTTCTCAGCGCCCGCTCGTCCATTAGCAGATCCTGGACCCATAGGGTGCATCGCTTGCCTACCGTAGTCAACTGAGCCGGTTGCAGATGGGTAAATCCCAACGTCGGTAATTCTCGGTATTCAACGGCAAACTCCGACAGACGCTTTATAACACCCACCAACTTCGGAAGTAACGACTTCAACCCGCCCTTCAACACCAGCAGATCGGTATTGTCTCCCACGTAGCAGGAAGTGGCACCTAGATGGATGATCGGCGCCGCCAGCGGACACTGCTTGGCAAACACATGCACGTGGGCCATCACATCGTGACGGGTCAGTTTTTCCTCTTCGGCTGCCGCCATGAAATCAATGTCCTCCGTATGGGCTTCCATCTCGGCAATCTGAGCATCGTTGATCTCCAGACCCAATTCCTGTATCGAAAAAGAAAAATTCCTTCGCAATGGAATTCCTTCCAATTAGCAACGTCAACCAACCTTTTGCGCCTTGGCCAGGACGATCCATAGTTTCCGCCAGGTGGAGAACTTGTTCTGCTCGCTGAACAGATACTGCATCTCCTTGCTGGCATAGCGGGTGCTCAGCGGCGATCGGTAACCGCGGAATTCCGGATTGAATTCGGTCATTTTGGTCGTTCGATGTTCGGTCAATGCGATCGCGTTGGTAACTGAAGGCAGGCGAGCACAGATTAATCAATTGAATTCAATGCTCGGTTGTTGTTTAATACTGCAAAACGCAATAATATTTGTTACATATGGTGATAAGTTGCTGGGGAGGGGAAGTGAAAACCTTGGTGCTGAAAAAAAAAAGACTCACCCTTTTGATAAGAATCTCGCCTGAATCGAGATGACGACAGCGAGGGTTCGGTTGAGACACAAAATTAACGGTAACACGAATAATATAACAAAGAAATTTAAATGCAATGCAATGGAGATTGACTGAGCTAACAATCAAAATGCGAAGAGCCCGGTTCGGAAGAATAATAACAACCGATAAGGCAACAAAAGCTTCCGTATAGCACGGTGAATGATTACGCAACAATTTGTAGAAGCTTCATGTACTACAGGATTGAGATTACAAAATGCAAATTCAAAGTGAATGTTCGTTATCATGTGCAAAGCAGTTGCATTATTCGTGGCATCATCGATGGACGAGCATACGACCACGTGCGAACAACACTACGAGGGGATAGTCAGATGTTGGAAGATGATATTTCATGCGAGTGTGTGTGCTCGACAAGAGGGAATACGATTTACATGCAAGTGCTGTTGAACCAACCGGCAGTTGGATACAATGTGGCACGCAAGAAATAGGGATGCTTGCAAATTCGATTAAGTTTGTGTTGAAGTGAGGTGAGTTCAACCAAAGAAGAATACTGAGATGAAACTGACAGAAGAAAAACTTTCTATTTTAGTGTCCTCTTTCACGGTCCTTTTCATTCAATGAATACCCCCCGTATGCAAGGTAATTTTGTGGTTTTGCTGCCCCCTTGGTAGAGATGAAATTTTGTGCACTTTTTTTATCAAAACAATCTTTTTTAATTACACGATTAACAACTCGACAGTGAGCATGCATAAGGGCGTACACGCGATGATCGATTCTCTTCGTCGATTGTCTCTTTTGTTAATAACTCGCTAGATTTAACGTTTCTCGGTGCGTTTGCTGTTGCTTTTGATAGCCAATACAACCTGTTACAACTCTGCATTGAACAAATTCTAGATAATTGTTTCGCTTAGCTGCAGCAATGCAAAGAGAAAATCGATGAAGAGAATCGATCATCACGTATACTGCCGCTTTTCGCATGTCCGTCCCATGGCGAAAATCGGCAAGCCGAGAAAATTGCGTTTTAAGTTTGCTTCGTACCATTGATTCTTATGTGATGGGACAACCAATGTGACTGTCTTTCCAAACTTTTTCAGAACAAAGTTGATGAGTTCATCCAGTATTATGAAAATATGGGTAATTAGCTACCATTTGCATTGAAAAACTCAGTTTTGACAAAAACGACTATGGGACCGACATGTGAAGAGCGGCAGTATACGCCCTTATGCATGCTCACTGTCGAACTAATCGATTATTTTTTGTTCGCTGTGCTGTCATTTTTCCACCAATTGTAGGGTCCTACACATCAGGAGATTATACGAAAATAATAGATGATAGTAGGCATAGGAAAGACGGGCAGTTAAGGTACGTTTAGACCTAAGAGGAAGAGGTGACAATTGGCTTCTTCCTCTTTTATTTCTATCTCTATCTCTATCTTTATCTATCTCTATCTCTATCTTACACTCATGAAATCAGCCAATCAGGAGCTGGTTCACGTTTGACAGAAAAGTGGTTCTTTTTCGCCCCCGTATTGTCACCTCTTCTCTTAGGTTTAGACTATCTGATTTGTTGGTCTGATTCGAGTTGACTGCTCGATAATTTTGTCGGATGGAATGTTCGAATGCGTTCACACTTTTTCGAGATGATGATCAGATTTAACGTTTGATTTGTCAAACGTAATAGGTTTGTGTTTAATTTTCATTCGACTCATTCAGCAAAATAGCCGCAAGTGAAATGAAAACATTGATTTTTTTTTCTTCTAAAATATCATGGATTTGAGTTGTGTTTTGATGGCAATTCCAGCAGCAAGGTAAACCGATTTTACTATTCAATGTGTATAATTTGAGTTTGACTGATTTTTATTTTCTAGTGTGTTGGTCGTCAACAAAACAGTGTTTATATAATACGAAGTATGTATTATATAATAATAAGCATGCCAGACAGCAGGTCTGAAAGCCTACTATTTAAGCTTTTTTTAGAGCTTCAGAGAGATTTGGAGATTTACTGTGAAATTTGTTGAGCTTCAGGGTAGTTCGTAGATCTTGAGAACAGAACTACAAAACTTTAGAAAATTTTACAGAAATTAAAAGAAATTCAGAAAAAATTCACAAGATCAAGATCTCCAAAAAAAAAACGAATAACGTTGTTCAAAGAAATTTTCAAAACTTCGAGCAAGCTTAAATATTTTCAGATCAATTTGTAAAACTATAAAGGAAATGTCGGTAAATATACAGGGAACTTCGCAGACCTTCAGAAAAGTCCAAGAATTTACAGTGAAATGTAAAGAATTTCACAGAAGTTTGGAGTCTACTGAAAAATTATTGAACATTAGAAAAGTTCGTAGATTTTCAGAACAAAGCTACAGAACTTTGGAAAAATCACAAAAATGGTCATAGATCTTCAGATAAATTTTTAGACCTTCAAGAAAGAGTGCAGATTTTCTGATGCATTTTTAGATAGTCAGAAATTTCAGGAAAATTTGTAGATCTTAAGAGAAACATTTAAAATTTCAAGGAAGCTCAACTATTTTCAGATAGCTTTTGAGAACTTTAGGTAATTTAGAAGATCTGCAGGGACATTTTCAGATATTCAGGGTAGCCTGAGAGCCTACAGAGGAATATAAAAAAACATTCAGACAAGTTTGCAGATCTACTGAGAAATGTATTGAGCCTCAAGGTAAATCGTAGATCTTGAGAATAAAACTACGGAGGTTCAGACAACTTTACATGTATTTTCAGAACTTCAGGAGAGTAGATATTTAGAGAAATCTTTAGAACTGCATAAAATTTTGCAGATCTTCAGAGACATTCAGTGTTTCAGAAGAGTACTTCAATTCCAAAAAACAAATCTCAGCGAAGTACGAAAGTCCAAAATTTTGCACAACTCCATGGAAGTTGGAAATAGATAGATCTGAAGAACTTTATAAAAGTCCGTAAACCTTAAGAGAAGTATGTAGAACTTCAGGAAGTTCGAAATTTTTTAGAAAAAACTGCAAAACTTCAGCAAAAATCACAGAACTTCTGGAAAGTTCGCCGATCTTCAAATGTATTTACACAACTTCAGAGAAATTCAAATATTTTCAGATAATTTGTAGAGCTTTTATGAATTTCAAAGAATTTCAGATAAATCTGCAGAACTTTATGGAAGTCCAAGAATCCACAAAGAAATGTACAGAACTTTAGAGAAGATCTACTACAAAATCTGAGGTTCTTGTACTTTAAGTGACATTTACAGAACTTCTGGGAAGTTCGCTGATCTTTATAGATATCTGCACAACTTCAGAAAAATTAGTAGATCTTCAGAGAGCTTCCTGAAATTTCCGGGAAGCTCAAAAGTTTGTAGATATTTTTTATACTTAAAGGAATTGCGTAGATATTCAGAGATATTTGCAGATATTAATTAAATCATGATAATCTACAGAGAAAATTATATAACTTTTGAGAAGTTCGTAGATTATTAGACATTTAGTAAACATCAGAGATAATTGTTGATATTTAAGAATCTTAAATCTGCATGGATTCAGGAACTTTGTAATTTTTTTAGAGAAATTTGCAGAACTTCTAAAGAAAACACAGAATTTCTAAGAAATCTGCAGAACTACCGAGAAATTTGCAGATCTTCAGGAAAGTTTGTTGATCTTCAAAGATATTTTACTAGAGAACAGAAATAAAACTTCAGGTACGTCCGCACCTCTTCAGACAAATATGCAGAATTGAGATCTTAACAGAAATTTTCAGAACCCAAGGAATCATTTAGATCTACAGAGAACTTTTCCCAGTAGCTTGTCGAAAGTTGATATCGCCATCCTGCCGACGTTTTCAAATCCTTTTTCGTCTTAATATCGCAGTTCTTGAAGGACAAGCTGAGTCAGATCCCTGCCGATGCTCTCCCTGAGCAACCATTTTCTACTCCACAAATTTCACCTTCTCCTTCTAATTTTATTTAAAATAATAAAAGCAAATACGCCTGTCGAAGCTAGAACAATTTTCCGGTAATTCATTATGGAAGCATTTATTTTTGATTCCGGATACAAATTTTGTTTTGAAATCTAAATTGGCAATTCTTTTGACATGTGCAAGCAGTGTGAACACCAGCAAACAGGGGGGTTCGACAAAGTGTGTCAAAAGTAAAATCGAGCAGATTTTTCATTATGGCGGCGGTCAAAATCAGACCAAGAAATCAGATAGTCTAAACGGACTTTTAGGTTTGGAATAAACTTATTCATGTAATGGATCACATCATTCGAGCAGTTTAAAATGACGTTTCCTACCACTCGAACTTTAACGGGGAACAATATTTTGATATTTTTTCTTCTACAACCTCGAGAAAATAGGGTCTTATTTATAATATGCTTGAAAAATCGGGAATTTATTGTTTCATTTTCGTAAACTCGCTGGTAGAAGGTCGTCCCAAAACTGCTCGACTGATAGAACCGCGTTCACCTTTGTGCTTGAGGGACTAATGCCTTCATTAGATATGCGGTGCCCTAAAAACTCTAACTTTGTAACTCCGAAAGCACATTTTTCCCAATTCAGCTCTACACCTCTCTTTTTGATTTTATCGAGTACCTAAAATAGAACAACTAATTATACTAACAAATTCAATAATTTACTTGTCATATAAGTATGATTTGATTCTACCTTTTTCAAATTTATGTCATGAATTTCCTTGGTCTCTTCTTTTTATAATGATATCATCCAGATACCAAAACGTTCCGTCGCATCCAGAAAGCATTTCTTCCATCACCCTTTGAAATATCTTCGGAGCAATTACTAATGCAAAGGGAAGTCGTTTGAATCTAAACAAACCCCGATTCGTGATAAATGTCGTGATGTCTCTGGAATCTTCGGCTAACTCCACCTGGTGAAAAGCTTCACGGATGTCAAGCTTGCTCCACATCGTGCAAGATACTCATCCACTACTGGCATTGGGAAATGTTCTCGAACTACGGCCTCATTCACTCGTCGTAAATCCAAACAAATTCTTGGTTCGCCCGACGCTTTGCCAACGACGGATAGATCGGATCGTGGTTCCTGGCAGTTTGCGAGCTCGTGTTCTACAATTCTGACATGAAGGTCATCCAGGAATACGGATGA